AACTTATTTTCACTAAAAGGTATACAAAATATGAAAGCATATATCATTACAATGACATTATAAAGAATTAAACCCTTTAAATGAAGTTTTTAGTGTTTTAAAGTAGCCTATAGCATAAAGCTCTTGTAGATGCACTGAATCTATCTATCAGTTTTTATTTTGGTCCATCAGAATATTTATAAAGCCTTTTTTTCTCTAAATTGAACTTTTTAATTTGTGAAATACACCACCTTATTTCAGCCAGCAGAGGGTCCTCTTTTATAATACAAATGTTGTATTTCCTCTTAATTGGCTTTCAGTATCTATGATTTCATCTGCTTGTTAGTAGCTGGTCAATCCTTAAAAACTTCAAAGCACACAATAATGAACAGATGTACATGATTGATTATTTTGTTTTCCCAAACCTTTTGGAACATCTCCCAACTTTTTACTTGACAATTTCAAACTCAATTCCCTAACACTTAACTAGTTTTCTCTTTTTCAATAAACATACAAAAACATTTTATCCATAAGCTTTCATTATCAGCTATAAACATTCAGAGATATTTACTCTTTGTTAACACTTATAAGAGGACAGCGGAAGACAGGAAGGCTTGGCTTGATCTGGTCCATGGGGTCGCAAAGAGTCAGACTCGACTGTGCGACTGAACAACAAAAAACACTTATAAAAGCACTCTTATTAAAACTTAAGCTTATTTTCCATAGAAAATACAACTGAAGTTTATTTAATCCAATTAATTTTGACATCCTTAGCTTGTGGATCCTTGCCAGGTCAGTTAAAAACATGTTGACCAATTATTTGCTAGATCCTTTGAAGTAAAGGATGGATCATCCATCTAACTTTGACAATTAATTACTGGGGTGTTTTTACACCAGTCCAGTTCATATAAGTGTCTATACAAACCAAAAGAGTCTATTCCTCTTTAGGCAAGCATCCTTTTTGTCTTTAAAAAGTAAACTTGGTAGCAAAGTTAATATTTTAGCTAGCTGCTATCTTTACAAATATCTATACTATAATCTTGGTAAACAGCTTTACACAAAACATAGAGTTTTAAAAACACACACATCAGGAGAGTTTTTCTATTACAATATATAACTGTCCTCTGTTTTACCCCAATTTTAGGCTTTGCTCATTAATTCCTTTGAAGTAGAGAGGTTCCCATAAATCTTGGCTTCTGGCAGGTCTTTTGCTCATCTCAGTCCAATTAAAAAGGTGACATCAGAACACCTTCTCATTAAAACTCAAATACTCATAGTTGGAAAATCCCTCCCTTGTCAATTAAAAATGAATTAAACCACCTGTCATTATAAAGCTGTTTAGTGGTTTAAACTGTTTGTTAATCCTCCAGGAGAGCCCCAAAGGATTTCCCCCCAAAGGTTCCTGTAAATCAGCAATAATCAATAGAAAATCACTTGAACCCCACAGGGTTATTTTTATTAAACAGAAGAAAATCCTAGTAAAATGCACAGACACAGAATTAAAACACACATTAAATAATACACACAAGTAATACAAGTATAAAGGTGAGTGGGAATAACAGGAGGGTGTTGGGGAAGTATACTTTACCTATCCAGAAGATCAGGGGTCTGTGGAGCAAAGGCTGGAAAGATGGAAAATGACCCAAACGAATTTGGGGGGTGACCTGCCAGTAAGGCACCTGGGGCAGACACACAGAGACTAGGGCTGTGCCGGGCTAGTTGTACCCATAAATGTGTCCAGAGGCCTTGCTAATGTGAAACGTCCCTCAGAACAAAAAATTGATGAGATTAATCAGGGATAAAGCAATGTAGTTTGGAAACGCTGTATAGAGTTCCCAGGAGTAGACAAAAAAGAACAGATATTCTTAGGAGGAGTTTTGCTTCCTCTGGTGATTCAGAGGGTAAACTAATCAAAATGGAAACAATACTGCTTGGTGACCCTCCTTTTGTGTTAGGTGGGAAATAGGGGAGCTGTTGTTATGAAAGAAATGTGGGCATGGAAAGGGGAGGGGAGGCTGATAGGATTAGTGATCCCAGGAGAAGATAAAGATATTGCCATATTTTGTATCTGTGTGGATGAATGGATTTCCTGATGCAAATAGGAACTGTTAAGGTTCCTGTCGGAATGCGGCTAGGAATGTGAGAAGTTAATGATCCACTGATGATCCCGGATTACTGGAGAGAAAAGGCTACTCCGTTGTGTGAATAGCATATTGATCAGGGTGAATTGACCAGGAAGGGATGAGCCAGGTAATAGGATTTCTTGTTTCCTGTGGGCCTCAATAGAGAGAGAAATATCTCTTAGTTTGGGATGGGGGGGACTATTAGTCTAGCAGATGCCTTAGGGCCACCCTCCCAACATAGGAAGTTCAGACTTGTTTCTTTTGCTGCTAGAAACCATACTGTTTGGTTCTGCCCCATCTGGTTTAGTATGTATTTCCAGGCCACACTATGATCTACTTCTAGGCCAGACATGGCTTGCACTTATACAGAGGGTGTTGGGGGTAGAAGATGATAAGGGGTGTTTTCTGCCAGTGACTCCCCTTTGCAGAGGCATATAGGGGGCCTTACAGTACCGGCGATGGAAATTGCAATATGCAACCTTATGCCTGGAGAGTGGACAGGCCCTAGTTGAAACTTGAGCATGGCTTTTAACCTATTAGATATTGGTTGCGAATACATTATAATTGTGACTCTTACAGTCTTATTTTCCAAATGCTTTCAGAATTTTATCTTCTAATTGGCTGGCCTGTATTGAGAAAAAGATCAGCCTGATTGGCTTATCCTTAGACTCAGTACTTACGCTCTTGCAAGTGGAGGCATTTCAAATGATCAAACGTAGAGTTTTGGATATTGAACTACAAAATCTTTACAGTACTGCTAATAAAACTGGCTCTCCTTTAAGGTTGAGGATTACATTCAATAAAGGCTATATTATCAATATAGACCTTTATTATCTGCAAAATCACCAAAAGCGTAGAGCCTTCTCTTTGGCCAGATTTAACGTCATGCTATCAGCAGTTCTATATGGCAGATTTCAAAAGGTAGCTTACTGTGCTAGACTTTGCCTGTGTAAGTTAAGATGTATTGAAACAATCTCACATATCCTCTTTTATTGACCTTTTTATGCAAACATTCATTTTAAGTATCTTGACCCTATTTTTGAAAATAAGACAGGATTCTCTGATCATATTAAGGTCCAATATATTTTGAATGATGTTTTTTCTGGCATAACTGAGGTGGTTGTTTCATTTCTTCAATGTGCCATAAAGATCCACCAAGATAAGACACAGCGATGATTTGGTGTTATATTTAAATTTTAACTGTATAACTCTTTTTATTACTCTTATTTTGACAATGCTGTAATCTGTCCTAGTTTATTCTGTATGCCATTAAAGGTCTGATTTGACTTGATTTTTAATAGCACAGAGACAGCATTCTGCAACTTGAGTTGTCAAAATATGTTGCAATCTAAACGACCAACCCGGTGTGTGAATCACCATTTGGGAAGAATTTTATCACTGTTAAAATCTCACAGGAAAAGCACGTAAACAAACCTGTTCATTGACTCCAGTGTCAAGCAGCACTGGAAGGTGAATGTTTTTTTTTTTTTTTGCCTCGCCTGTCATACCTGTACCCTTAAGCCCGCAGAACCCATTGCAGTCAAGGGGCTCAGGCAAGTCTGGTGCTGCACAGGACGCCCTCTGTAGATGCTCTAGCTGAAGGAAGGTTCAGGAGACCCTTTGATCAGTACTGGAATTTCATGGGTGAACAATGATGGGAGTTCTTTCCTGTTCTGCAACTCCCTTCTAAGAAATGCAGGTGAGGGCGGAAAGAGGAGTCCATCTGCATACCTTGAATTGTTAGGCAAATGAAAAACCTAGTTATTTGTGGTCACTGACCCCAGAAGGAAAATGTGAAAACAGAATGCTTTTCTGAAATGACCTGCTAGAGCCAGTTTATTCATTGGATTTTTATCTCTCCCTTTCCCCACACAGCTCAAGGTCTCCCCTGCAGCAACAGTATCCTCACAACAACCCTGCAAGGTAAGTTAGGCTGAGCATGACAGGTGCCAGGCCATCCAGTGAATGTTGTGTATATGACAGTGAAAATATCAGATGCATTCCATTGAATGCTTACCTGAAATAGCGGAGAGGTTGACAGCCGAAAACCCAGGAAATCTTTAGTTCAGATTTCTCTTCAGCACAGCCTTGGCTGAGCCACTGTTCCCTCAGCCTTTGCCCCCTCCCCCACACTAATACTGGCCTACCATGCAGGGCTGATGTAAAACAGAGAAGTGCTTCTGGGAGAGACTTGCTGGCAGCCTTTTGTGAGATGAAAGAAAACCAAAAGTTCACGGGCACCTTAGCTGACACCATTTACTTCCATAGGAGCTTTTGTGAGCCCGCCCACTTCAAACTTGTGGTCGATATGTGGTCAGTTTTTAAGAACTTTTTGTTATGACAGACTAGCATAGCTATCCATTTGCAACCTTTTTGGAGAGAGGACCAACACCCACTTTGTATGCTTCTTCAGAAATTCACTCTCCTAGCCTCCTTGTGTAATCCCGCAGTTAAAAAGCGTCCGCTGCAAGCCCCCAGTCCAGATCTCCCCATAGCCAACTTCTCGGCCTGAGCCAGGCCTTCCCTCTGCAGTATGCTGAGGCTCAAAGATGCAGCCCACCTTCCAGGGCTGTTGTGAGCATTGGCCCCGAGCGCGTGGCTTCGGGCGAGGAGCGGCTGGCTGAGCTGCGGCTGCCTGATGTCATTACCGGGATTGAGGCAACGCGAGGCGCTGGAGAGAGCCGAAGGCCGTTCGCCTGCGCCTGCGCCTGCGCTCTGCAGTTCCCCTGCCTACCGGCTGCCGAGCCCGAGAGGCGGCAGGTGGAAAGCGACTGCTAGCTGGAGGCCCATCGCGCTCCGGAGGAGGATGCTGCAGCCGAGAGGGAGGCGGCGGCGCTGGGGTTCCAGCAGCTTGCCAGCGTGGTTGTGCAGCTGGGCTCTGATGTGCTGCCAGCGGGAGGCGAGCGCGGCCGTGCCCAGACTACCGTTGCCTTCATGCCGGGAGGTGAGAGATTGGCGCGCGGCAGGGCTGGGGGCAAGGGATGGCCCGGGCCGAGGGCGCCGTCTGCCTGCCATGGGGGAGGAGGGACGCACCTGCAAGGGTGACAGCAGAACTCATGCGACCCTGCTGATAGCACCCCCGCCCAAGGGAGGCGGCGAGGAAGAAGAGGGTCCCCATGTTGTAGACGAAGCTGGAGCCATTCGGAAGGCTTTTCAGTACGTTGTCCCTTGCTCTCCTGCCCCTTTGAAGCAGGAGCCAGAGGCAGAGAAACGCAGTCTTTGGAACTTCTTCGGGCAGGGAATGATGGCAAAGCCTTCCCCACCTAAACGTCCGCGTGCCAACCTGATGGGGTGGTGGTGGTGGTGATGCCACCTGCTGACTTCATGGCACATTGAATCCCGTGCCCTGAGTGAGGAAATGCCTCTAAAAATAGAGATAGGGCTGATCCGGCATTGGGAGGTTGAAGTGGAGGGGCGGGGCGGGATTCCACCCTTTCCCCAAAGAGAATGATCCTGGTCCACCACCCCCTCACTTGCAGTGCTCCAGGCTCACCTGGCATCTGGAACTAGCTGGTCAGTTTGATATTTCCTCCCAAGCTGTTTTAATTTTTTGAAGATGCATTGGTATGCAGTTGCATAAAATGTGTGTTATAATAATATCTCCGTATATATTAGCTTTATTTCTGAGTTAGGGGAGAATATTTTGCTGTTATGGTTGGTTAGGTAAAGGTAAAGGTTCCCTTGCTCAAAAGCCAGTCGAATCCGACTCTAGGGTTGCGGTGCTCATCTCCGTTTCAAAGCCGAAGAGCCAGCGCTGTCCGAAGACGTTTCCGTGGTCATGTGGCCGGCATGACTACATTGCATTATATAAGAGGGGGCACTTGCTTGTAGCATTGCCAAGAATTCTACTGTCATGTCAAACAGGGTTTGCTTCCCAGCATCATTTGAGACTTTCCAAAGGGTTTTGGGGTGTAGAGCTTATTGCCTGCATTGAAATTAATTTAATTTTTTTCCAGTTAAGGTGACTGTACAAATTAAAACTGGAATGGCAGCTTTTTATTTTTTGTCTCTACTAAATAAATTAGTACATGCCCTGAAAAATTGAGAGCCAAATATATTGATAGTAAGTGGTCTTTTAGATTTCATAAAAGTTATGTAAAACACTGTAATTTTATGAATGAATAATGAGTTGTCTATTAGCCATATTCCTTTGACTGACCTGCTGAATTTTTGAATCTTTTGCTGTATTGTATGATTTGTGCGAGCCCTGAACTTGAACTTTTGTCATGCAAAACTCATCATCAAATCACTTACATGTATGGCCACAGATTGCACCACAAAATTCACAAATCCATTGATTTGTGGTGCCACCACAATGCAAAAACATGGATCCAAAGCATGAAAAACATGTCTAAAACACTGGATCCTCAGAATTTTACGTGTGCTCACCCAAAATTCATTAGGAAATAACACAACATGTCTATGCCCACAGAGTGAATCATAAAAATAGTGCAGATCCTAGTCCTTGTGGCACTGCCATGGGGTAAACAATGCATTAAATACTTGGATCCTCATGGATCCTCATGGTTGTTAAATGGGCTTCTCACTTCACACTGGATTTTGGAATATTCTACATAAAAATTGTGAGGTTCAGTGGTTTTTCTACAGGTTTCTGTATCATGGGGATACAGTGATGTTCTGGATGAAAAAATTTTTGGTCAGATCTGTGGACATGAATATGAACTGTGATTTGAAAGTGATTTTTCAGGGGCTATATGTAAATGTGGTAGGCATCCATGTTTCCTCCCATTCCTGGCACCATGATGGCACTTGTGGGGGGCTGCACTCCATTAACGTTGATGTCATCTCTGATTTTATGGTCTATATTGGAATGTTCCTTGATGTAATCATGAAAGTCTAAGAAGATCTGCACCTTGGGTCCATGATTTTGCACTACCATGATGCCACAGAAAAGAGAATCCGTGTATTTTGTGGTTCATTAAGAACATAAGAACATAAGAGACGCCAATGTTGGATCAGGCCAAAGGCCCATCCAGTCCAACACTCTGTGTCACACAGTGGCCAGAAATACCAGTGCCATCAGGAGGTCCAGCAGTGGGGCCAGGACATTAGAAGCCCTCCCACTGTTGACCCCCACCCCCAAGCACCAAGAAGACAGAGCATCACTTGCCCCAGAGCCCCTAGCTATACCTTGTGGCTAATAGCCACTGATGGACCTCTGCTCCATATGCTTATCTAATTCCCTTTTGAAGCCGTCCATGCTTGTAGCACCCACCACTTCCTGTGGCAGTGAATTCCATGTGTTAATCACTCTTTGGGTGAAGAAGTACTTCCTTTTATCCGTTCTAACCCGACCGCTCTGCAGTTTCATGGAGTGCCCACGAGTTCTTGTATTGTGAGAAAGGGAGAAAAGTACCTCTTTCTCTACCTGCTCTTTCCCATGCATAATCTTATAAACCTCGATCATGTCACCCCTCAGTCGTCTTTTCTCCAAGCTAAAGAGCCCTAAGCGCTTTAACCTTTCCTCATAGGGAAAGTGTTCCAACCCTTTTATCATTCGAGTTGCCCTTTTCTGCACTTTTTCCAAAGCTATAATATCCTTTTTAAGGTGTGGTGCCCAGAACTGCACACAGTATTCCAAATGAGGTCTCACCATTGATTTATATAGGGGCATTATTATATTGGCTGATCTGTTTTCAATACCCTTCCTAATAATCCCCAGCATAGCATTGGCCTTCTTTATTGCAGTCACACACTGTCTCGACATTTTCAGTGAGTTATCCACTACAACTCCAAGATCTCTCTCTTGCTCAGTCTCTGCCAGTTCAGACCCCATCAATGTGTATTTATATTTAGGATTTTTGGCTCCAATGTGCATCACCTTGCACTTGGCCACATTGAACCCCATTTGCCATGTTGACGCCCACTCGCCCATCCTTGACAGATCCCCTTGGAGTGCCTCACAATCCTCACTGGTTTTCACCACCCTGAACAACTTTGTATCATCCGCAAATTTAGCCACTTCACTGCTTACTCCCATCTCCAAATCATTAATGAACAAGTTAAAAAGCAGTGGACCAAGTACTGATCCCTGCGGTACCCCACTGCTTACCACCCTCCACTGAGAAAATTGCCCACCTACACTCACTCTCTGTTTTCTATGAACTAGCCAGTTTTTGATCCATAAAAGGACTTGTCCTTCTATCCCATGATTTTTGAGCTTACTTAGGAGCCTTTGATGAGGAACTTTATCAAAAGCTTTCTGGAAGTCAAGGTAAATAATATCTATTGGATCCCCCTTGTCCACATGTTTGTTCACCCCCTCAAAGAACACTAACAGGTTAGTGAGACAAGATCTTCCCTTACAGAAACCGTGCTGAGTCTGCCTCAATAGGTTTTGTTCATCTATGTGCCTACTAATTCTTTCCTTAATAATGGTTTCCACCAATTTACCCGGTATCGACGTCAGACTGACTGGCCTGTAATTTCCCGGATCTCCTCTGGAACCCTTTTTAAAGATGGGAGTGACATTAGCTACCTTCCAATCCTCAGGAATGGAGGCAGATTTTAAGGAAAGATTACATATCTTTGTCAGGAGATCTACAAGTTCACATTTGAGTTCTTTCAGAACTCTCGGATGTATGCCATCTGGGCCTGGTGATTTTTCAGTTTTTAAGTTGTCTATCAGTTTTAGGACCTCCTCTCTCATCACCTCAATCTGACTCAGGTCTTCCAACACCCCTCCTGAAATCAGTGGTTCTGGAGTGGGCAAGCACTTCTCATCTTCCACAGTGAAGACGGAGGCAAAAAATGCATTTAGCTTCTCAGCCATTTCCCTATCATCCTTCAATACTCCTTTTACCCCTTGGTCGTCCAAGGGCCCCACTGCCTCCCTGGCTGGTTTCCTGTTTCTAATGTATTTGAAGAAAGTTTTATTGTTGGTTTTTACGTTTTTTGCTATATGCTCCTCATATTCCCTTTTTGCCTGCCTGACCTCAGACTTGCATTTTATTTGCCATAGCCTGTGTTCCGTTTTATCAGCCTCACTGTGACTAGCTTTCCACTGCTTAAAGGAATTCTTTTTACTTTTTACAGCCTCCATTACTCTGTTTGTTAACCATGCAGGCTTTTTCCTATACCTGTTTGTGCCTTTCCTAACCTGCGGAATATATATTTTTTGAGCTTCTAGGATCGTAGTTTTAAATAGATCCCAAGCTTCCCCAATTGTTTTGACCCTTTCTACTTTTCCTTTCAGTTTCCTCCCCACGTGTCCCCTCATATCAGAGAAATTACCCCTTTTAAAGTTAAAAATGGTTGTGTGAGTCTTTTTGGCCAATTCTCTATTTGTACAAATGATGAACTCAACAACATTATGATCACTGTTTCCAAGCGGTGCAATCACTTTTACATCTCTCACCAGGTCTTGAGTGTTACTTAGGACCAAATCAAGGATCGCCTCTCCCCTGGTAGGTTCCGTGACCATCTGCTCCATAGCACAGTCATTTAGAGTGTCTAGAAACTCAATCTCTTTTTCCCGACTAGAACACATATTGACCCAATCAATGTGTGGGTAGTTAAAATCACCTATTATTACACAGTGTTTTTGTCTAGTTGCTATCTTTAAGGCATTCATCATTTTATAATCCTCCTCTATCTTTTGATCTGGTGGGCGATAACAAACTCCCAGTGTTAAGTTTCCTTTTGGCCCCCCTATTTCAACCCATAGAACTTCCAGAAGCGAATCCAATTCACTTAGCCTCTCAATCTTTCTAGACTTTATACCCTCTCTGACATACAGAGCTACCCCACCTCCAACCCTTCCCCCCCTATCCTTCCGATATAATATATAACCGGGAATCACTGTGTCCCACTGATTTTCCTCATCCCACCAAGTTTCAGAAATACCCACAATGTCTATTTTTCCCTCCGACACCAAGCACTCCAACTCCCCGATTTTACCTCGGACACTTCTAGCATTTGTAT